GCTCTCCCCAATACTGTTGTTAATTGTAAATTAAGACAGTATATTTTAGCAATGATCTTATTAGCAAGTTAATTTTTAAGTCTTATTATAAACTGTAAATGATATATACTTCAGAGTGGTTTTGAAAATTAAAAGAGGTGGTTACATTTTACACCATAGTCATTTCCTATCCTGTTTTTCTCCAGAAACCCTGTGATGTGTCTGGTTGTTTTTAAAACTAGATTTAGTTTAACTAAAAGTACTTTATAAACTGACATTCAGATAGATGAATGCTGTAAAAATACAAAATGCAGTGCTATTGTTAATTCATTGATTATTTGATATTTTACTCTAACTCACTTTTCTTCTTCTCATTTCAGGTGTTCTAAACCACTTTTCTTGAACCGGCGAATATTCAAAGAAAGCTAAATCTGAAGCCTGTACAAAGGCTTATCCTATAACATGTGCCATATTCTACAAACTTCTGCTTTTGTCAGTCCTTAACATCTACCTCTCTGAATTTTCATGAATTTCTATTTCACAAGAATGATTATTTTATATACACTGGCAGCAGCATACAAATAAAATACTTAGTATAAAAAGTATTTTTGCCTAATTATTGGTAATACACTATGTATTAGTTTGTTTTGAACACCTAAATTAAATGGCAATTTTCCCAGTCATTATGGGCTGCTTTTAGCGTTTGTTCCAACTCTTCTCATATATGCCATACATTTGCAAAACTGCTAGAAAAGCAAAGGTAAGTTGCGCACTTCTTTTAAGAGTCAGGGGAAAGTTGCTAATACTAGTTTCTACTCATATTAGTTATTTATAGGGCTAACTTTGTTTTAATAATAAATATTTCTAATAAACTCCTTTGTGGGTTTATTACCACTACACCTAAGTTACTTACTTTATCTCCTATCTCCTAATAAGGATAGTAAAGACTGGATGTAAGAATTCCATTAGAAGATATAAGAAAAACTTCAGAGCTTGAGACAATTCCTGAGTGGAATACTACAGTACCGAGTAATGATGTATAACGTAGTAAGAAAAAAGGAACCAAAGATTGGCTTCAATAATTTGCAACTTTGCTTTAAGTCCTTGGTAAACCATTGTACTTAAAAAATTTTATCCTTTGGAAAGGCTTAAGGAAATGTTAAAACATCCCAGACATGTGGTCTCCAATCATTCAGAAAACGGTTAAAAACTCTGTGCCAGATCCAAGGGTCTGGTAGAAAACCAGTGGGTTGGTTACATTGTATCTAGCGAACACTGTATTTTCCTCTTGCCCACCTGTACCATGAAAATGTAGATGGTAGAGGGGCGAGGGAGGCCAATAGGGAAAAAAGAGGACAAGTAATACTTTCAACAATAAAGATTAAAAGAGTGCATATGGGAAAGTTAGATTGAGTCTTGATTCCAACTTAAATTATTCAGTTACTAAAAATAAAAAGTTTTAGGGAATCTAAACTGCAACCTAAACTCTCACCAAAATACTTTTATTTGCATTTCCTACAGAAACAGTGAGTGGTAATTCATGGCACTTGGAAATTTGTCCAGACACGAAATAAGGTATATGAAATCAGTAAATGCCATTTTCAAGAGTCTTCTGTTCCAAATTCAAGATAGGCCTGTTCCGCAAAATCCAATACTATTCCTTCATTATTTTATAAGTGGAATTTTCTTCTACTTGTATCCATTTCCCGGGGCTGAAAATTAGGGAGTAAACAAAGTTAGCACACAATCAATGGGTAACAATGCTAAAAATAGTCACTGAAGTATCGGTCTTCAGGTTTAATATAAGGTGTTGGAAATTACAGTTCCAATAGATGTGTGTTAAACATACACAATTTTAAAGTAAAAATCACACTTAAGTGAAATACTACTTACTAGATAGAAAATAGTTCTCAAGCATGCACCAGAATCAGGGTAGCACAAGCTTATGAATAGGTTGCTGGGTCTAATTCAGTAAATCTATGGCCCAACAATTTTTCATCTTAAAAGTTTCTGGGTAATGCTTCTGGTCCTACTTTGAGAACCATTAATATTTAGGATACTTCAAATGAACCAGGATTAATCACCAGATCCAATTACCACATCAGAAAATGGTTCTTTTAGCTCATGACAGAAGACATTCAGAAGGATAACTTGAGGTAGAACAACTCAAAGCTTAAAAAGTACACGATTTCCTTCTCATCCCATACTTAAAATCATCTAAATGGCTTTTCTAGAGTAAGTACATACCTTATGGACCCATTCATATTCACCATATTTAGAATCAAAGGTTCCTTTCTGAAGAGATCTTAATTTCAAGGTAAAACGTGGTCCAAGTTCCTGAATTCCCACTTTCTTTTCACTCTTGAATATGTATCTTTAAAAGGTAAAGAAAAAAGTTGAGGAAATTAGTCCGCATTAACCCACCTATTACTTCTTTAACATTTATGATGGTCGAAAAGAACGTATTTCTCATCTATAATACCTGTCAAAACACATTAGAAACAGGTTTATCTTGAACAAGAATTTCATGACTAAAAGTCCAAGGAGTAAAGGTACCTTCCTCACCTGTGAAATCTGAAGAAGATATAATCCCGTTGATTGTGGAATGTGGCAACCTGCCTTCCAATAAACTGAGGATTATGGGGAAAGAGAGATGCAAACATTCGTCCAACAGAATGACCCAGCCTTGTTGTAAAATTATTCAGAATTATTTCAGGTACGTGTTCTGTGGGGTCCTTGCCTCTTCTCTAGAAAAATCATAATTAAGTTTATTAGCAAAACTGTATCATTGCAATTTTAAGTTTTATAATTCCCATGACAAATATGAGAAATTTATCTCAATGACAACCACAAATGGCTTACTACACCCATGAAGTAAGATTATCTAAAAGTATTTTGTATGCTGTGAATGCACCAAAAAGGAAGTTCTAGGAAAGTAACATTTCACAGTAATGAAAGTTATTGCCTGTCTGCCATAACTCAATTATGACAGTCTCACAAGAAACCTGCCAGTAGATAAAACTATTGCTTTAATTAGGAGAGCAAATGCCATTAGTAAAATCAAGCAGCTGCTAAGTCAGTCTACTTAAAAGCAAAAACTATGAGGGGACCAATGCCAATCAAGGAATGCCTAAAACTTACCTTAATTTCTTTACGCAGACGAACACTGCTCATTTTAAAATGAGCAGTTGGTCCATTTGGCAAGTGACTCAGAATTAATCCATCTGTTCATAAAGCTAAGAACATATTGAACTCGAATCTAAATTTTGAATTGTTTAAATAATTGATCCTCAAAGGCTCCTAAAATCTGTAGCGAGGTGAATAGGTGGGGTGCATGCATTCTCTGGGTTAACGGAGATTTTCTTACCAAGCCTCAATCTCTAGACATAAATCAACATAAATCTTTCAGAAAAATGGATTAACCTTTGTCCTACCTTTTCTCTTTTCACAATAGGATAAATAGTTCATCAACCCCTTGTACAGGGTGTTTTGAGCATTCAACTAAAGTATGTGAAGCAACTAATGTCCACTACTCAAGCAGGATTGATAAGATAGGAATGGATTCTAGAGCAACTATAGCACTGTAAATAGAATACAAGTTTACCTCCATGTTAGAAGCCTTATAACCCTAAAAATGCACTTTTATATATTTGTATATACATTTTATGTTTGTAAGGTTAGGATATGCTGCCGGCTTTGAATTGATCATCCCACAAAACCAGAGACTCCTAAATTCTCTTCTTGACAGAAACAAGCTCTTATTCTTGTGATTACTGTACCACAAATTAAACTTATTAATAGCCATTTACTAACTGTCAGCCATGAATGAAATATAAGACACCTACCTACCTAGCAGGGTTGGCAGCCCAAGGCTTTAAAAGTCTTTGATGCAGCAAATTAAGATTACTACCTATACCAGTGACGGTGAACCTTTTGAGCTCGGCGTGTCAGCATTTTGAAAAACCCTTACTTAACTGGTGCCGTGTCACATACAGAAATTTTTTGATATTTGCAGCCATAGTAAAACAAAGACTTATATTTTTGATATTTATTTTATATATTTAAATGCCATTTAACAAAGAAAAATCAACCAAAAAAGGGTTTGCGTGTCACCTCTGACACATGTGTCATAGGTTCACCATCACTGCCTATACAATATTCCTCAAGTGGTTAAAGCACAACCTGATTCTTTGAAATGCTGAACCTTAAAAGATGAGAATCTGATTGTTTTCAAATATTTGTACATAATATTAGTTTTACAAAACATACTGTCTGCTTTATAATGGGATCAACACTCCTATTCATCCAGAGTAGAAGCTATGGTTATCTTGAATTTCCTCCTCCCCCACTAAATCCTGCTGTTTACATAAGTTCCTCACTTCTACATCTCTCCCTTACTATTACTGTCTTAGTTGATGTCTTTGAGATTTCCCACCTAGATTATTAAAACAGTAGCCTGGTTGGTATGACCACTCCAACAGTTTAAGTACATCTTCTAATACAGACTGTAAATCAAGTCTGGACTAAGGCCTTGGTTAAAAAACCAAGTAACAAGCTATGGGGCTTAGCTGTGTCACTATCTGCACCAGTTCCTCAGATGCTAAGTGAAAAAAACAAACTAGATACCTTGATTCTTGACAGCTACAGCTAATTTCAAGCCACTCTTATCAGCCTCATCTACAGAATAAAACATTGGTCCGACACTCAATGTGGTTCCAAGCTATCTTTCTAACCTGTCTCCTCATGGTGTTTCCTAACTGGTAGGCAGTGATACAATCTCTTACACACCATACATTAACCATTTTTTTCTTTTACTCATGCTATTTCAAATAGCTTCAATAGTTTACTCATCCAATAATGCCCAATTCAAATGCCACCTCATTTTACGTAGTCAAAATTAAGATCTATATCTCAGTTCTCACTGTTACTTACTATAGCACTTGTCACTTGAAATTGAGTTATAGTCATGTAAATGCCTTTCTTCCCATCTAATCCATCAGCTCTTGAAAGATCTGTTTCTGACAAATACTAGTGCCTATCACATAGCAGATTATCAGTAAATGTTTGAATTCTTCTTTTCAAAGATTCACCACAGGTTCAACTTCATGAGGCACAGTCAAAAGTATTTCTGTATCATTTGCACATTGAAAAAATTAATCAAATCTTGTAAGGGGGTTAAGAGAGGTAACAAGTCATTTCTTGCAAATTAAATCAGGGCTTGAATCCATTCTAGACCATTCCTACTAAATGTCGTTTGTGTCAGAAGCAAACTACAAAATTCAAACTTATTAATTGCTGTACAAAAATTTATGTTACTGCTAATCTCTAACATCAACCATGCAAAATAGAAGCCCTTCCTTAAAAACCAAACGAAGGATACTTGGTGTTTTACGATCTTCATTAATAACGATCAGATCTGTGAAATCTCTTGAGATGCACTGTGGAATAATTCTTTTCAGAGCCAGTCCTCTTCTGTAATAAACATGTGAGTTTGGTATAACTGTGGAAAGCTGTTCACAGAGTCGTACTGTTCTCTGTAAAACAAAATATCAAAAATGAAAAGAATAAAAATCTTATGTGATATATATTTATCAGGAAAGGCATAATGATTAGTATAAGACAATGTTATAATAGAGACCAATGCTAGGACAAGAGTGAAATCTGAACAGTTCCATCCTTTACC